CGCCAGTCCCGAGCTGTGCCTGCACTCAGCCCTGGGGCTCTGGATGGGACCGGGCACCATGGAGCAGGGGGCAGTGCCCATCCAGGAGGCTCTGAGCTGGAGCCCACTGCAGGCAGGGGAGCTCAGACATGGTGGGCTGCAGGTCCTGAGCCCTGCCTAGTGGGGAGGCAGCTAAGAATTTAAGTGCAGCACCAGCAGGCTGGGAGACCAGCACTGCTGGGGGACCCTGCGCAACCTCCGCAGCTGCTGGCCCTGGTGCTAAGCCCCTCACTGTCCTGGGCGGGTGGCCCTGCCTGGCTGCTCCATGTGCGGGCCACTGAGCCAGAGTCCCTGCCCCTGTCCACCCCTGCAGGAACTTGCACTGGCCCAAGAGCGTGGCCCACAGCCCAGGTTCCTGCCTGCACCTCAACTTCCACACCTGCCCGCAAGCAGAGGGAGGCGGCTTCCACCTCAGCCAGCCCAGAGAGGGGCTCCCACAGTGCCCTGGCGGGCTGAAGGACTCCTCAAGCACCACCAGAGTGGATGCCGAGGCCGAGGAGGCGCTGAGAATGAGGGCTGCTAGCACATTGTCACCTCTCAAAGTGTGACAATTAGGCTACTCAGGGGTCAGGGGAGGCAATCTATTCATTCTCAGATCTCAAACTCCGTGCTTGGAGAACCACTACTCTCTTCAAAGCTGTCAGACAGGGATGTTTAAGTCTGAAGAAGTTTCTGCTACCTTTTGTTCAGCTATGCCCTCTCCCCAGAGGTGGAGTCTATAGAGGCAGGCAGGCCTCCTTGAGCTGTGGTGGGATCCACCAAGTTCGAGCTTCCTGGCTGCTTTGTTTACCTACTCAAGCCTCAGCAATGGTGGACGCCCCTCCCCCAGCCTCACTGCTGCCTTGCAGTTGGATCTCAGACTGCTGTGCTAGCAGTGAGTGAGGCTCTGTGGGCATGGGACCCTCTGAGCCAGGCGTGGGATATAATCTCCTGGTGTGCCCTTTGCTAAGACTGTTGGAAAAGCGCAGTATTAGGGTGGGAATGTCCCAGTTTTCCAGGTACTGTCTGTCACAGCTTCCCATGGCTAGGAAAGGGAATTCCCCCACTCCTTGCACTTCCTGGGTGAGACAATACCCCATCCTGCTTTAGCTCACACTCCGTGTACTGCACCCACTGTCTGACAAGCCCCAGTGAGATGAACCCAGTTCCTCAGTTGGAAATGCAGAAATCACCCATCTTCTATGTTGCTCATGCTGGGAGCTGTAGACTGGAGCTGTTCCTATTCAGCCATCTTGGAACCTCTATCAGGTAGTTATAAGTAAGGAAATAATAGGTGCTGGAGAAGATGTGGAGAAATAGGAACACATTTATACTGTTGTTAGGACTGTAAACTAGTTCAACCATTGTGGAAGACAGTGAGGCGATTCCTCAAGGATCTAGAACTGGAAATACATTTGACCCAGCCATCCTATTACTGGGAATATGTCCAAAGGATTATAAATCATGCTGCTGCTGTAAAGACACATGCATACGTATGTTTACTGTGGCACTATTCACAATAGCACAGACTTGGAACAAACTCAAATGTCCATCAATGATAGACTGAATTAAGAAAATGTGGCACATATGCACCATAGAATATTATGCAGCCATAAAAAAAGGATGAGTTCATGTCCTTTACAGGGACATTGATGAAACTGGAAACCGTCATTCTGAGCACACTATCGCAAGGACAGGAAACCAAACACCACATGTTCTCACTCGTAGGTGGGAACTGAACAATGAGGACACTCGGACACGGGGTGGGGAACGTCACACAAAGGGGCCTGTAGTGGCGTTGAGGGAGAGGGGAGGGATAGCATTAGGAGATATACCTAATGTGAATGGCACATGTATACATATGTAACAAAGCTGCACGTTGTGCACATGCACCCTAGAACTTAAAGTATAATAAAAATAGAAAAGTAAAAAGAATATATTAGAGAATATTTCTATGTTGAAAATTATTTTATTAGATAATTTTAGTCACTTCTATAAGTCAGAACCAGTTCTCTACTCTCTCATTTGACCCTGAGTCACATTAAAAATTCTGCCTGTGGCCATTTGGTAAATGTGTGTGGGGGTGTGTCTTTAGAGTCAGAGAATAGGGAATATTTCTGTGTTAAAAATTATTTTCTTGGATAATTTCAGTCACTCCTATAAGTCAGAACCTGTTCTCTCTACTCTGTAATTATACCTTGAGTGAAATTTAAAATTCTGTCCATGACCACTTGGTAAATACATGTGTATCTTGTTTGTGTGTTTTTCAGGGACCACTGACATTTAGGGATGTGACTGTAGAATTCTCTCTGGAGGAGTGGCAATGCCTGGACACTGCACAGCAGAATTTATATAGGGATGTGATGTTAGAGAACTACAGAAACCTGGTCTTCCTGGGTGAGAATAACTTCAATACTCAATTCCTAATGTACCCCAAATACTTCATTTTTGGGTTTTTTGTAGAATTATTTGGTAATTTGGTCATTTTTGATAATTACGCTTTGCATAAATGAGTTTCAAACCCCTGTTTTCAAGAAAATCATAAGGATTTGTCAGTGTAGGAAAAAGAAATTTCAAGATGTTTCATCTTGAGCTGAACTTTCCACATTGCTGAGCTGATCTGTATCCCTCATTCTAGATTAGTGGTAATTCCAGAAATTTAGTGGTGTAAAATACTATCGCCCACACCTTAAAATCTAATTGCTAGCACCAATTTTTTAATTCAGTACTACTGGGTAGTGAATTAAGAACCTACAAATATACAGTGTTTTCTAAATTTTTTTTTTTTAATTTTTATAAATTAGTATTTTGGGATAAATGTATTAGAATATTGTATTAAATCCTCTTTACTGAGCACATTACTAAGTTGGTAATTGGAGAATATGAGCAAGATGCATGTTACTTATTTTTAATAAAACAGGTATTGCTGTCTCTAAGCCTGACCTAGTCACCTGTCTGGAGCAAGGAAAAGAGCCCTGGAATATGAAGAGACATGAGATGGTAGCCAAAACCCCAGGTAGGTGAGAGTGAAAGCCAATACAACAGATGACACAGATGAGAGATCCAAAGGTCAAGGAGAAAGAAAGCAAGTCCTTAAAATGTCATTTGGGAAGCTGTGTTCCAAAGGGTATAGTTTCTGGAAGGCTGAGGCTTGTTTTTTTTTTTTTTTTTTTTTCTTTGTTCTCACATAGGGGCATTTTCTGTCTTATGCTTTTAAATTCTCTAAAGATTCTACTTTCAGTCATTTTTCTTCAAGTTTACAGTGAGAGCCAAAGTCCTCATGGCATATAAGAGACTGTACAATCTGACTCTTTTTTCATTGTTTTTAGGGACACACAAATATCTGCATAATTTTTAAAAACTCTGTGTTAAGCTATTTTTTAAGTTCTCTTTTTGCATCATGTCTGAAATGAATGGAGTAGTGGTTTCTTTTCCATTGAATTTTTAATTTTTCTGCACATTCCATCTTTTTAGTATATTGAGAGAGAGTTTGGAATGATAAAATATTATGTCGTTCTGCTTTATTTTTTTTCCTTCAGATTGCTTTGGCTATTCAAAGTTTATTGTAGTTTCATGTAAACTTTAGTCTTGTATTTTCCATTACTGTGAAAAAAACTTGCCACTGGAATTTTTATAGGGAGCTTATTGAATCTGTATTTATTGAATCTATATTCTTTCAAGTCAGAGTCATAAAACATTTTTAAATTTATTTGCGTCTTCTCTATTTCTTTTCCTAGCTATCTTATATCTTTCAGTGTCAAGAATTTTTATTTCCTTGGTCTTTGTTCTCAGAGATAAATTTATTTATTTATGTTTTTGAGATGTAGTTTCACTCTTCTTGCCCAGAATAGAGTGCAATGGCGTGGTCGCAGCTCACTGCTAACTCCACCTCCTGGGTTCTAGCAATTCTCCTGCCTCAGCCTTTCAAGCAGCTGGGATTACAGGCACCTGCCACCATGCCCAGCTAATTTTTGTATTTTTAGTAAAGATGAGGTTTCACCATGTTGGTCAGGCTAGTCTTGAACTCCTGACCTCAGATGATCCACCCTCCTTGGCCTCCCAAACAGCTGGGATTACAGGTGTGAGCCACCGTGCCCAGCCAGAAATTTATTATTTTAATACTATTGTAAATAAGATTTTTTTTTGTCTATTTTATCAGATAGTTTGTCTTAAGTGTATGGGACCATAACTTGTATGTTAATTTTATATTTTGTGAATTTACTGAGTTTATTAACTTAGGTTTTAATGCACTGCTTATGGTTTTCTATATATAAGATCATGTAATCTACAAACAGCAAATTTTTACTTATTTGTCTTCAGTTTCAATGACTTTTTGAAAATTGTTTTGACTAATTATTCTGCCACATACTTCAGTGCTATGTTAAAATGGAAGCATTGACAAGCTGCACAATATAATTTTGCATTTGGTGTCTGTGAATTTGAAGAAGCAAACACCTCTTCAAGTTGCTATAAACTGGTTTCAGGAGGTGAAGATCTTCCATTGGGCCCCCAGGGTGATGGGATTCCCACTGGGTTTGTGATGGAGAGGGGTTGTAGCTTGGTCACAAGATTGCTGGGTCTGCACTAGCATCCACCTTTAGTCGGCTTGTTACAAGGGGCTCAGGTAGTTGTAATTCCCAATTATTTTTGGACAGACTGGATATCCTTCAAAATTTTGCTCTGTAGGGCAGACACTAGGGCAGGTTTTTGTAGTTAGGTCTGTATATAATGTACCTTAAATCGGGATGTAAATGAGTATGGCTTTTGCTGAGTACCACAGAGGATTTCCTCGGGTTACTGTGTTGCTTTCTAGGTAAAGAGAACTGGCCATAAACTGTGGCCCAGGAAGCTGGAACTGAAACTTTGAACTGCTAAAGGCACCACATTAAAAGCCAGGGTCTGCAGGCCTGGGGCCCCCATGGCTATAAACGGGTGTCTTCC